TTCTTCTAAGTCCAAAAGTTGTAATAGGATATATCTTGGCTTTAGCTGCTCTGGGTCAGTATTTTTGGGCATGCGGTGTACCCTTTTAGTATTTAATTATATTCTCTTCAGGAGAGTTTTCTTGAATTATAGTTTTTATTATTTGATCTCTTCCCTTGCTTTGGTTTTCTTTTTTAACAGCCTTTATTTACATCTTTGCCCATCTTTCATATTTCCACTTACTCTCAACTCCTTTTTCTTTATATCTTTGGATATAAACATTTTTCTCCTTTCATCTTTTATTTGTCTTTTGCATTATTTGTTGTTTGTTCTTTCTTCTGTGTCTTCTATTTTATTAACATTTCTTAAGTGTTAGTTTTTCATTTTCTTTTTTTTTTTTATTTTTTTTTCAACGTTTTTTATTTATTTTTGGGACAGAGAGAGACAGAGCATGAACGGGGGAGGGGCAGAGAGAGAGGGAGACACAGAATCGGAAACAGGCTCCAGGCTCCGAGCCATCAGCCCAGAGCCTGACGCGGGGCTCGAACTCACGGACCGCGAGATCGTGACCCGGCTGAAGTCGGACGGTTAACCGACTGCGCCACCCAGGCGCCCCTCATTTTCAATCTTCTTTGAATCTCATGACCTAAATTCTAAATTATTAAGATGGTGAATTGTGTTGTTTTCTCATGCCTTATACCCCTTGAAAAATTTGTTTTAGCTTGTTTTAAAATGGAGAGTAAAATTTGGATTTAGCCCGTGCATGTTTTTTGGTGTATTTTCATTGTTTGTATTGTTGCTTAATTTTAGCTATTTTTTAAAAATAATTTTGGCTATTGGCCTTGATACTTTTAGGGTGGAATTGGTTTTATAAGTCTTTTAGATTCAGTTGTGATTTGGCATAGGTATTCAAATTTCCTGGAGCTCCTTTTCTGTTATTTTTGTATAAAATAGAGTAACTTGATTTCTGAAATTTCTTTATTCTCTTTCCTTGCTCTTCTTTTGTCTACACTTTTTCCCCCTTTATCTTTATTATCTCTAGTTGGCACATTTAAATTCCTTTTGCAGCAGTTTTCCCATGGCTCAGTTTTGAGAGTTCATTGGGACTAGCCTTCACCAAAGTATTAAGTCCTTAATGCAGCTGTTTCTTTCACTGCCTTCGGAGTGGGCAAACTTCTCTCCATTTTAGATGCTCTTCTCAAATTGGCCTATTGAATTCTCCAATGGAAAATGGTTCCTTTTCTAGAATTCTGATGTGAAGTTCATTATTCACTTTTTGTTTCCCTTGATTTCTCCTTCAAAGACACTGAAACTCTGCTGATGTATTGGTAATTTGACCTTACCTACTTGGTGTGGGGTTTAGGGGGATACATTGTCACCTTGTTTTGTTGTAAATATTTTCTGTGGGTTTTGCTGTTGATATATAATCGCTTTTTCTGTTTTATATGATAATTTAGAGAGAAGCTAAATTTTTTACTGTTTATTTTTGAGAGAGGTAGACAGAGCATGAGGGAGCAGGGGCAGAGACAGAGGGAGACACAGAATCTGAAGCAAGCTCCAGGCTCTGAGCTGCCAGTACAGAACCCAGTGTGTGGCTCAAACTCACCAACTGTGAGATCATGACCTCAGCCAAAATTGGACTTTTAACTGATTGAGCCCCCCAGATGCCCCTAGAGAGAATCTAAAATTTTGCTGCCACTGCCTTCATCTACTTCCAATTTTCTGTTTATAAGGATTTTAATGACTAATATTTCCTCATGGAAATATGCCATAATTTCATCAGCCACTCCTTAGTGTTGAAAAACCTTTACATACACCTTCTATCTTCAGAAGCCATCTCAGTACCTTCCTGTATAAAGTCTCCATAGTTTTAATGGAAAAATGACTATTAATTATCCTCTGTCACGTCCCACAGTGTGTTTCTTTTATCACCCAAAATTGATTTGTTTCTTATAGAAGCTAAAATATAATGCAAATCACTAGACGGAAACGTATAAAAACTTGAAATCTGTTTATAGAAAGCTGGACAAAAGACACATTTTAAGTCACAGAGGACAAAATATAAATGGTCTAACATACTAACACCAGTGTTTCAGCCAACGAATTGATAGATTTACAAACAAAATAGAAACACTAGGTAGTGGCAAATCACTTGTGGGCATGTAAATTAATTCCCAGTTTGGTTGTTCAATTTGGGAATACTTATAAAAATCCTTAAAAATATGTGTATTCTGTGATATACGAATTTCATTTTTATGATTTGATCAAAGGGAAAATAGATTATGTGTTTAAAATCTTAACTGTAGGAATATTTGTTGCACTGGCATTTATAATATTGATAGTAAAAGTTATCTAGATATCTAACAATAAAGTAGTAAAATTAGGTATATTCATGAAATGGAATAACTGATAGCCACTAGATTATGTTGTAGAATATTATTTAATAGAATGTACTTGAAATTTTAAATTTAAAAAATTTATAAAATATTATAAATGGCATATCCCACATATAAAAACACACAAAGAATATAGGATATATTCATATAATTATTTTTAGGTGTTAGTATTTTATGAGATTTTTTATTTCTTAATTTTTATTTATATATTCTATAATTGACACATACTGATTTTGTATTAGGATAGAACTTACTTTTGGGCACCTTAATCAACTGTAAGTTGATTAAGCATCTGGCTCTTGACTTTAGCTCAGGTCATGATCTCGCGGTTTGTGGGTTAGAACCTCACGTCAGGCTCTGCGCTGGCAGTGTGGAGCCCGCTTAGGAGTCTCTCTTTCTGCCCCTCCCCCACTGGTGTGCTCTGTCTCTCTCTCTCTCTCTCTTTCTCTCAAAATAAATTTAAAAAAAAGTTTTTTTAAAAAGATAAAACTAAGTCAAATAAAAATATATTCTCATTTGTTTTTAGTTTTGAGATTTTTGAAAATGTTAACATTAACGTGAATGCATAATTCATGTGTGTAGATGTATTGTTCTTTAAGAAGATAGGATTTTTGATAGTTCTAGATAAAGTCCAAGATTTTCTATATAGTGTCTACCTTTGTGTATAGTGATCTTTAGTGGATTCTATTAGATATGTAAATGACATTTACATATAACTTAAAATAGTATAATTGGACCTTCCATAAAGTAGAAGGTGTCATTTGGAATATTCTTTTTTCCTGGTGCAGAAATAGAAATTAACATGTCAGACTCAGTCTACATCGGCAGTGTTGGGGGAGGGGAATAGCGTGGTCTTGTGAAATCAGCTAGTTTGACCTTGAGCTTTGTGGCTGTGGACATAATACCAAACCTCTCTGAACCATTATTAAGTATCTTGTAAAATGTAAACATATTACCACCTGTTTTGTGGTATTGTGATGATTATAGAAAATAATGTGTTCAGGTTAGCCCTTTGCTGATCATGCATTAAGTATTCAAAAATGGTAACATGGATAATGATTTCACATATGACTTGCTTTATACCATGTATCCTTAGAAGATATGGTAAGAGGATTATCTTTATTTATATTATTGCTTTTGTTTGATTTGAGACCTGGGTTATTTTTTTCTAGTTGCATTTGAAATGGGAAACATTCTGGGAAGAGTAACTGTATGTGGGGAACATAAGCATTTTGTTGTGGACTATTATTTTGGAAATACTTATGATGGAAATACTTTAAGTGGAAATTTTTAGTAGACAGTTTGATATAGGAGTGGAGTTCAGAGGAGAGGTCAGAGCTAGAGCTAAAAATTTGGGAATTGCCTGTGTATAAATAATATTTCAAGTCACTGCACTTGATGAATGAGTTTGGATAGAGAAGTATATAGCTCTGGGATATTCCAACATTTGCTCATGCAGAGCAAAAGAATCCAACAAAGAAGACTTAGAAGGTGCAGCTGGTAAGTTAGGAGGACAGTGTAATGTCTGGAAGCCTAGTGAAGAAAAAGTGTCAGGAAAGAGGAAGTGATCTACAGGGCTAAAGGTGTTAGAAATTTGAGGAGAAGATCTAAAACAATTTCTAGAAAAGAGTGTGTAGAGAAAATAGTTTAAGGTTCCCTAATTGCCTGGCAATACTAGGGGCCATTTGAGTATGACATTTGTAATGTCATAAATTTAAAGTGAGAGTAGTCAACACAGTTCATAATTACAGCCACATTAATCTGGCCAGGTATGGGCACAGAGTAGGGTGGGAGTTGGATTTAGAATTGGGATTTTGCCATGCAAGTATGAGTAAAGAGGAGAGGGGAAGGGAATGTACATGCTGTGTACATGCAAGGAAATGATTATAGTAATGGGCTGTAAAATCTAACATTGATAAGGAGGGACATGGGGCCAGAATCTGTGCGCTCCAGCCAAACCACATCGCTGTTTCCAGTAACCACATTCTACTTTCATCTCTTTTTGTGTGTTCTGAAATGCCTTTTTTAATTTTTCCTTTCTGCCACCTTTCCCAACACTCAGCTCAAACAAACACACATATATCTAATATCTGTATGTTCAAATTCAGTCCATTCTTCAAGAGATAGCAGACATGGTACTTCCTTCTTGAAACCTTTCCCCTTTACCCCCAGTGAACATTGCTTTTGTTTCCCTTTTGGGCTCCTATAGCATCCCATCTTTCTAATCGACACTTACTACTGGATATTATAGATTTGTGTGTGTATGTGTGTGTATATACACACACACACACGCACACACTCACACACATATATACATATGTACATTTACATATACATATACATTTTTTTTTTACCTCTCAATGCTGTGTGGTTGTGAGGGATAGGGATATGTCCTTGTATCCTTAGCATTTGTAACAGTTGATGTACAGAAAAGGTTTGATAAGTCCATGAAAATCTTAAGTAAAACATTTCTTCAGTGTTTTCCAAAGGAATTGTGAAAAACAGAATTTCGTAAATATTACTTTACTTTTATCTATATACTTTTTTATACTCACTATAGTCTGTAGCAATGCTATGTTATTCTTTAACCATCATCAATGTTATTATCATTTATTTATCTTGCAGGAGCATCTTTCATTAAAGAAGTATATTATTGACATTGTGGTTGAAAGTGCAGCTCTACCAGAACCATTGAAAGATGGAGACGAGAGGCAGAAAAATAAAAAAAAAGCCAAAAAGATAAAAGCCCGGATGAACTCCAGGTACCTTAAATATCCTTAAAAAGAAAAGAAAACAAAAACTTTAGTGATATATCCTTGCTAATGTATATCTAAGGAAGACCCTGTGCCCTCCCAAAAAGTTGAAACTTGTTTGCTTCAAGAAAGCTTTGAAAATAATACTGATGAGCCTAATTTATAGCCACTTTCTTTGATTGAGAAAGAAAACTGCGTATCGATCTAAAGCCCTTGCTTTCACCTGTTAAGAGCTCTTCTTATAATTGGATGCCAAAGCCTTGCCAAACCTGGGCCTCCTCCAGCATACAGTAGTATGTTTCAGTATGTGTAAACTAAGCCTATTTTTCTTTCCAACTATTGATTTTTAAATGAGGTATCAAAGAAAATCAATAGCAATCAACAAATAGAAGTCTGCTGGCTATAGTGTCAAATCCCATGACTAGGTTTAATCAATTTGGTTGCTGTCACAACAAGAAGAAGTTCAAGAAATATCTTGAAATGGAAAGTGAGTTGTCAGACCTGTAGTTTATCATCAGCCTCCAAAGTACCATCTGAGGATCAGACAGCTATGTAGTACATCATTGCCTTACATGCTTGTAGCATCATCTGATGACTGATGAGTCTTATTCAGGACACAAATGTAGTTCCTCAGTAGTAGATGATTTTTGCTATTTGGGAGTAGGTAATCTAAATGTGTTGTTTTACCTTTATCAGCAAATGTCTTGAAAGTTGGAGAAGCTTGATCCCATGGGATTATAGCAATATAGTTCTAGAATAACAGTGAATGATGGTTATCACTCAGTAGTTTCCAATTTCAGATTGTAATCAAAGGTGTCCATTTCATCTTACAGAATCAATGAAAACTTCAGAGTATTCATTCAAGCAAAGAATAGAAAAGGCTTTTTTTATTGTATTTTTTGAGATCCCACTAAGTTTCTAAAAATAGTTTCACAGTGCACTTGAGGGTATTACTGACCTTCATTTCTAGTTTATGCTAAGAACTTACCTCCTGACACTGAAATGCTATACAGCCCATTTTTGTAAGCTCTTTTTTCTCTATGTACGTATTCCCTTGGTAAGCTCCCACTATCTGTGGTTCTAAATGTCCTCTACTTGGTGATGACTACCAATTTTATATCTGCAGTTTTACTCAAACACAAGCTCTTGCTGTTTCCAGAACCCCTCTTTGACCCCATAGTCTTCTCTGTCACAGTAAATAGATACTTTATTCCAGCTTTTATGCCAAAACCCTTCCTTGTCCTTTCTTTCTCCCACATCTCACATCCAGTCCAACTACAAATCTTCAAAATTTGACTACCTCTAACTTCACTGCTTACCCTGAACCAATCCTTTATCATCTCTCACCTGAGTTACTGTACTAGCTCTGTGATTAGTATCCTTATTTCTGCCTTTGCCTCCTTGTCTATTCTAAATACTCTAGCCAGAGTGAGCCTATTAAAATGTAAGTCAGTCATGTCACTTCTCAAAACCTGAGGGCTCTTTACACCTCAGGTTTCCTCTCCCCACATATATCCATACACTTAGCTCCCTTATCTCCTTCGGTCTTTGTTCAAATGTCACCTTTTCGATGAGGCTCTCCTTGAGAGCTTAACTTGTTTTTTCATTTTGTTTGTTTTTTTTTTTTAATATAAGTAATGGTAATTTATTAAATAAAATCTTAAAATTATAGGAAAAATACCTATAATTCTGTTGTTAATAATTTGGCTTAAATATCCTCTTTATGCATACCTACCTATATCTATAGACTTTTTTCTTCATTGTGGTATGATGTATTTAGGTGAAATGTAGAGTTCTCCAATGTAGAATTTGTTGACTTTGACAAATCTAGGTACTCATGTAATCCACACCCATCAAAATTGTCTTTGTACCTCTTTCCAGTCAGTTTCTCACCAGCCTTGGTGCTTGGTAATCACTGATCTGCTTTCTGTCATTATGGATTTCTTTTTCCTGTTCTGGAAAGGCATACAAATGAAATCAAACTCCTTTTTGGCTAACTTCTTTTACTAAGTGTATTGTTTTTGAGATATATCAGTGTTGCTGCAAGTGAGATAGTTTATTTCTTTTTATTGTTGCACATATTCATTGTGTGCATATCCTATAATTTTTATTTATTCATCTGTTGATAGACTTTGGGTTTCCAGTTAGCATTGGTAAGTTAAGCTCCTGCCAGGTCTTTGGGTATATATGCATTTTCATTTATGCTGGGTAAATACCTAGAAGTGGAATCCCACACCATTTTCCATAGTGGTTGTACTCTTACACACTCCTGTCAGCAATCTGTGGGAGTTCCAGTTGCTCCACAATCTTGCTAGTACATACTTAATGTTGTTAGTTCTTAAAATTTTGGCCTATTTTCAGTGAGAGTGTAGTGTCATCTCATTGCGATTCTAATTTACATTTCCTTAGTGACAAATTATATCAGGCATCTCTTTATGTGCTTTTTAACCATTCGGTATCTTTCTTTATGAAATCTGCATTTAAGGTTTTTGCCTATTTTAAAAGTTGTTACCTTACTTTTGAGTTTTTTATATGTTTTGACTACAAAGTTCTTTGTCACATATGCATTGTAAATGTTTTCTTGTAGTCTGGAAATTGTCTATACATTTTCTTGAAGATAGCCTTTGATAAGGAAAGGTTTTTACTTGTGATGATGTCTATTTTGGGTTTTTGGTTTCTAAGAGATCTCTGCCTAAACAAAGGTTTAAAAAAGCCTTTTATATATTTTTTAGAAGTTTTGTTAAGTTTTACTTTTGCATTTAGGCTATGACTCATCTCAAATAAACTAATGGTCAGATGCCTAGGCCCAAATTTATGTTTCCGTACAGGTAACCAGTTGTTCCAACACTATTGCTGAAAAGGTTTCTTTTCCCATTATACTCTGTTAGCACTTTGGTTTAAAAAAAAAAAAAAAAACTTATGAGCTCTAATAGTTTTGTACATTTATAAAATTTCTTTATGTACATAAACATATCTGAGAATAAAAACAGGTTTTTTTAATTATATACTATTTATTTCTTTTCATTGTCTGTTATCTTCAGCAAAATTTGAATAGAAGCTTTGGTCCTGATTTTAGGGAGAAAGCCTTTAGTTTTTCACCATTAAGGTATTCTGTTAGCTATAGTTTTTTGTAAATGCCCTTTATCAGGTTGAGGAAGCTTTTTTTTTTATTCTTAGATTCCTGAGAGTTTTTTTCATAAATTGATATTCCATGTTTTCAGATGCCTTTTTCTGCATCTATTGAAATGGGCCTTTTAATTTTATCAATGAAGTACGTTATATTGATTTTTATAACAGCTTTATTGAGATATATTCACATACTATACAGTTCACCCACAAAATCTACACAACTCTATATTGATTATTGGGGAATAATTGACATACAACATAATGATTCGATATTTTTATATATTGTGAAATGATCACTACAATAAATCATTAACATCTGTCACCATACATAGTTACTGATTTTTTTCTTTTTCTTTAAGATTTGCTCTCGTAGTAACTTTCAAATACATAGTATACTACATCCCCACCACATTTATTTTATAACAAGAAGTTTGTACTTTTTAAAAAAATTTTTTTAATGTTTATTTATTTTTGAGAGAGGGAGAGATAGCACAAGCAGGGGAGGGACAGAGAGAGAGGGAGACACAGAATCCAAAGCAGGCTCCAGGCTCTGAGCTGTCAACACAGAGCCTGACGTGGGGCTCAAACCCATGAACTGTGAGATCATGACCTGAGCCAAAATTGCGTAACTGACTGAGCCACCCTCATGCCCCAGAAGTTTGTACTTTTTAACTCTCTTCAACCATTTTGCCCACCTTCATCCCCCACCTGTGACAATCACCAGTCTATTCTTTGTGAAGAGCTTGGTTGATTTTGGGGTTTTGGTTTTGTTTTTGTTTTTTTGTTTTTTTTGGTCTTTTTGTTGTTGTTACCAAAATGAGATCATATGGTATTTGTCTTTGTTTGACTTATTTCACTTAGCATAATGCCCTCAGAGTCCATCTGTGTTGTTGCAAATGGCAAAATTTTATTCATTTTTACGGCTGAGTAATATTCTATTGTGTATATACACTTATACACACCCCACATTTTCTTTATCCATTCACCTGTTGGTAGACACTTAGGTTGTTTCTATATCTTGGCTATTGTAAATAATGCTGCAGTGAACATGGGGTGCACATATCTTTTCAAGTTGGTGTTTTCATTTTCTTTGAGTAAATACCAGAAGTGTAATTACTGGATCGTATAGTACTTTAATTTTTAGGTTTTGTTTTGTTTTTTTGTGGAACCTCCATACTGCTTTCCATAGTGGCTACGCCAGATTACATTCCCAGCACAAGGGTTCCCTTTGTTCCACATCCTCACCAACAGTTGTTACTTCTTGTCTTTTTGATAGCCATTCTGACAGGTGTGAGGTGATATCTCATTGTGGTTTTGATTTGCATTTCTCTGATGATTAGTGACATTATACATCTTTTCATGTGTATGTTCCCCATCTATATGTCATCATTGAAAAGTGTTCAGATCTTCTGCCCATTTTTTAATCAGATTTTTTGTTTGTTTGTTTTTGAGTTGTATGAGTTATTTATATTTTGGAGATTACCCTTTTATCAGATGTATGATTTGCAAATATTTTCTCCCTCCTAGTAGTTGCCTTTTCATTTTGTTAATGGTTTCTTTTGCTGTGCAGAAGTTTGCTAGTTTGATGTGTTCACACTTGTTGATTTTTTGGTGCCAAATCCAAAAAAATCTTCACCAAGACCAATGTAAAGGAGCTTACCACCTGTGTTTCCTTCCAGGACTTTTATGGTGTCTTGTCTATAATCCATTTTGGGTTAATTTTTATATATGGTGTAAGATAGTGTTCCAGTTTCATTCTTTTGCATGTGACTTCTTAATAGTCTTCTTAATACTATTTACTGAAGACCCTGTCCTTTCTCTGTTATTTATTCTTAGCTCCTTTATTGTGTATTATTGACCATGTATGTGCATTTTTCTTT